TTGCAAATGTTGTTTGAGTTGATGACATCTGGTTTTTCAAGGAATTCTAGAAAGCTCTTGAGGTCCTTAGAAAAGATTTGGTAAGTGTTGGTGTAGTGATCATGGTCATCGGTAATCTCTTGTGTGGTTTGGCAACATGAAATAAGTCACATCAGCTCTACCAAGTCATTTCAATATTTGTTACCAGCTTTTTTCATACTGGTACTCTGCTAATTGAAATATGATTGTTTTCACATAATTTTACTATCTCTCAATCACTTACATAAACCCAGATCAAGGGCTCTATTTGATTTATGTTTTATAAAGTCTTGTTCAACCAACTATTTATGGGTTGCATTGCAATTTAGTATTAACCAAAAGTGCAGTACTTTACAAAGCCTTCCTCCATATTTTGTATTGTTCAGGAGAAATAATAAAAGCTATATTGTCCAAGGCAAGCTATGGGTGCAAAACTAAATACTATTCATTTTCAAGGTGTACCAGAACCAATTATTTTCAGCATACAATGTGCATATTGATGCAGAAATCCTTATAGTGTTAGAATTTCTATGATGAAATTCTAACTTAAAAATTTCTATGATGAAATTCTATCTTAAAAACTAAAAACTAGCAGTGGTTAAAATACTAGTTTGAAATTCTACTAATTCAAAACACACAGTTTATTCAAGTAAACACTTGCAGACTTAAGAAATAGAGGCTTGGGTTGTTTAAAGAAGGACCAGAGGACAAATATCCAGAAAGGGTTGAACAGCTGGAAAATTTTTTATAGAACTACTAATCCACAATACTACCATTCACAACCAAGATCTTAAACATAATATTTAAAATTGATTTAATTTTTAGATTTTAAAAATTTATGTAAATTTCTCTTTATTGGTATTCTATGTTTATGAATTTTAATTACTATATATATATATGGTATATGACACGATGGTAGGAAGCACACACAGTTAATAAAACAGTTACTACTGCACAACCAATGACTGGTGCTCTGAAGAAAATTAGCAGATCCATCACTTCACATTGACAACCAACCTTTTTTTTGGATGAAAAACAGCTGGAACTCCAAATCTGTAGCAAATTCATGAAAATGTTACCATCCCTATTCTTCATGCTACACATTAGATATTTAGACTTCTTGCCTCTCTAGATGCTACTTTGATTCCTTTAACCTGCATCTTCACACCCTCTGAACTAGCCACTGTTTGTCCTCTGCATCAACATATTTAAATTTTTACAATTAACATTAGTGAGATGGTGCAAAATTGTAACTTGTCATGATTCACTTATTTGTCTTGGCATACGTATATGCTTTTCAAACCTCTGGGGAAAAATTGGCCATGGTTCAATCATTTGGCTTTTCAATTACTGGACTTTTGAAATACTTCAAACATTTCAATTGTTGAGTTCTATGAGGTCTTCGTAGTTTGATTTTTTATTTTACATTAGTGAGTTATTGAAATATGTGATAATCACATTCTTTTTGTAGAGTTGGTGCACATACACACACATCTTAATGGTCTTTGGGCCTCTCTTTCCCCCTTCTACCCCTGTACACCTTTCTCCATCACTTGGTCCCTTTCTCTTTTGTAAAACATCAATTCTCTATTTACTATTATCTTTCACTTTATTCCTCATTTATACTTTGAGTTATTCATATAACAAAAAGCATGTGACATTTAAGCTTGTGCATCTGATTTATTTCAGTCAATATTATGTTTTCAACAAGCATCCATTTTGCCACACAATCCTGTTTTATAGTTTATGTTAGCACTCCACTGTGTATAAATACAATATTTTCTTCATGCATTTCATGATGGACATGGGTTACTTCCAAGATTCAGCTCTGCAAATTGCATTGTTGTAAACATAGCTATCTGGGTATCACTGAAATATCTTCAGATCCACGGGGATGGTACTTAGCAAGAGAATAGTTGTGCTGAGTGGAATATCTAGTTTTAGTATTTTGAGCCATCTCCACACTGATTTCCATAGTGCTTGTACTAGTTTGCATTCCCATCAACATTAGAGAATTGTTTCTTTATCCCACAACTTCACCAGCCTGTTATTGTTTCATTGTGGAATGCCAGACGTAGTTTCTAAAGTGGGATGAAATATCAGTGTTGTTTTTAACGTGTATTTCTCTAGAGGCCAGAAAGTTGAACTTTTTCACATGTTCACTGGCTATTTGTTCTTCTTCTTCTGAAAAGTGTCGATTCGTTGTTGTTAGCCATTTTGGATTGGGTCTTTTATGTTGAAACATAGGATTTTCTTGAACTCTTCATATTTTCTAGATGTTACTCTGTCTAAGGAATAGCTTGAAAACTCTTTCCCCTGTTTTGTAGGTTGTCTCTTCACTGTTGATTGTGTGCTTTACTATGCAGAAGCTTTTTAATTTGATAAGACCTTATTATCTGATACTCGGTATGATTATTTGTGACATTAACTTTCTGTCCAAAATGTCTTTGTTATGCCTGTCTTGAGGAGCTCCAACTTTTTTTATCTTCCAGCAAGTTGTTTCTATTTTAACATTCAGAACTTTGATCCATTTGTGAATAGACTTCAGTACTGTTAATGACACAAAGATAACGTTAGCATCACTTTAAAGAAACCTATTCTTTTCCGGGAGAACATGGCAGACAGATAGCAGCAGCTACGGAGGCTCTCTGAAACACCCAGCTTAGAATTCAGGAATGGTGCTGACTAGGGAATCATAAGCAAGAGGAGATATGCCCCGGTGACCCAAGAATGAACTGGGCTGAGAGAAACCAACTGGGAATGCAATCCTGGTGCTATAACAGAAACAGATAAAGCCTCAGCGTGGAAGATGGAGCCTGCGCCATTGGAAGCCACGATTTGGGTTTCCTGCCACCATGGCTGAGTCTGCATCAGCTCGGCAGGGAGAGAGATGCACAGAAGCTCTGAGAGCAGGAATCGGTGAATGCAGTCGAGAGCAGGATGGGCAGGGAACCATACATCCACCTTCAGTGAGTGAGGGAAAACTGGGACTCTTCCACAGTCTAGGTGACTCCAACAGAGGACATTCTGGGACCAGGCAGACTTGCGGGAACAGGGCGCTGCAGTGACTTCAGTCACCAATCCCCTTCTGAAGCGGGACTGGTGAGCAGTGCCTAGCCCATGTGACACTGCTGGCTGAGACCCAGTAGGTTAGCACAACCCAGGTCCCAGAGCCTGAAGGTGACCTGGAGAGTCAGGCCCTGCATAGGCTGCCTGGTCTGGAACTTCCTGGTGTGCTGCAGTGGGTGGGAACACCTAGCCAGCACAATTCAATTAGATTGTGATTGACAGGGAAGGAAGCTGGGCCTCCTATATATGCTTGCATATATAAGGAACAAAGAATATGGGAAGAGGCAGCAACAAGAAAGGGTCCTCAGTCCCCAATCCTGAGAAAGAGGCAACAGCAGACACAGCATCAATAGATATAAAGCACTATCTCGAGAGCCTCATAGACAAGTTCAGGAATGAAGGTATTAATGACCTGAAGCTAGACATAAGCAGAATAGTTAGAGAAATGCTAAGCACCACCCAAGAAAAAAACAGATGGTGGAATGGAAGAACAGAAAAAGAGGGGAGAATTGTTTAATGGAGAAAATAGAGAAAGCATAGAATATGTGAAGCAAGTTCAAAGAGATTACCAGGAAACTAAACAGCCAATTGAAAACTGGCATAACATCTTGAAAGAAACTAAGGACAGATTGTCTGAACAGGAGGGCAGATTTGTAATATGGAAGCATGAAATGAAAAACTTCTTAAAAATAACAAGAAACAAACAGCAATAATACAAGACTAGAAGATGATAAGAGGGTCTATAACTTAAGAATTAAGAACATAAAAGAAGTAGGGACACAAACAAATGAACTACAAAAGCTACTCACAGAAATAATCCAGGAGAAGTTTCCTAATTTAGCAAAAGGTAAAGATACTCAGTTGTTTCATACAAGCATACAGGACCCCAGCCACCTACAACCCAAACAGAGCAACACCCAGGCATATAATAATTAAAATTCCAGTAATCCAATACAGGAACAGAATACTAAAAGCCATCAGAGACAAGAAACAGATCACTTACAAGGGAACACCCATCAGAATTACAGCAGACTTCTCGGCACAAACCATCAATCATGAAGAGCGTGGAGGGAAATAATTCAAGCTTTGAAAGGTAATAATCTCCAGCCAAGATTGATATATCCTGCACAACTATCCCTGGAAATTGATGGAAAAACAAGGTGCTTCCAGGATAAAGAGGAACTAGGGGAATATGCAACCACCAATTCAACTCTACAGAGAATACTGCAAGATATTCTAAAAAAGAAAAATACGAAGAATCCAGAAGTAGCAGCAGAGAGGCCACAATGAACGTAACAGAAAACAAAATGAAGAAGACAAACTGACAACTAATGACAGAAAAAGAGCTCAACAGAAATGAGGCAGAGAAGATTGGATGATAGGAACAGCTATTTTGGAGAAAATGATGTCTTAAGAGGTAATACTGATTTAGTATCATCTTGTTTTGAAGGCTCATCAAGCTTTTGTTCTTCTGTCTCCATTGGTCTAAACAGGTGGTATCTTATTGGATTTTATTATATATGATAGTATGAGCAAAACCTTTTATAGACAAGGAGATTATACAGAAACCATTGTTCATTTTATGTTAGTTGATTCTAAATACCCTGTAATGCTGTCATTCTCTTAAATGGTTTTACATTGTTTTGATATATTTGATGCTACGGTATATGAAGTTATACTCAAAGATTTCAAGGAAAGAGACAATATGGTAACTACATTTATGTCAGGATTATCTTGTGGTGAAACACTATTTTGCTTAAATGGTTAGGTTTTGATCTGTGCTGATTTGCTGTTATGCCCACTTTTATCTCAATCTCCATTTTATTATTTACTTTCTTATCCTTTTAATTAAGGGAAAAATAAATTTTAAAATAGCAGGATATATTATAGTAACCCACTTTGACTTTCCATTATCTTGATTTAAAGCCCTGTATTGCTCTCACAATCTTGTTTTGACTGATGTTCCTCTATTCTGTTTTGCTTGATAGTACCAGGTTTGAAAGTTTAGGCAACAGCTGTGAAGATAGTGGGATTCATTATGATGCCTGCTAGGGTTATTTCCAAAAGATGAAAAATATTAACAAAAGATGAGAAATATAAAATAAAAAGTGGCCTTTAATCTGAGAACATGGAGAGAGATGACCGGCACCCCCACCGCTGGCGTCCGGCGCTCTCCCTGGTGGACACGTGGTGTGGGGGCCTGTAAATAGCCTCAGTTTGGGGTGGAACCTAAGGCATGCATTAGGGATGCACAGGTAGCCCATTGGTCCTAGGTTTGGCGCCATATGTAAATTTCCAGGGGTGGGAAGATGGCATCACAGGTAACTTCCTAGGGGCATGGAAGATGGGGCTTTATGCTTCCAGTTGTGGCTTTTCTGGCTACAGTGTCCTATCTGGGCCAAAACCCTTTCATATCCCGTCTTATGATTATTATTATGAAAAGGGGCAAAGATTTCTCTCTTTAACTACTTCCTGCTGGCAGAGGGTACTGAACTGGAGCCTCGGGGAGTCGACAGGATGAAGGTTGATGTCCAGGTAGACTCTGGTGCCAGGTGTTTTAGCCAGGACAACTTCACTGTTGAATGCACGTATGTCAGACTGGAAAAACAAAGAGACAAGATGTTATGAGGAGACATGGCACTGTCATATTTAAGGACCCAGGTGAGGTAGAGGGAAAGGTGCCTTTGATTTAGACATATCATTCTATCAGGACCATGTTGAGGTAGAAACATTTCCACGGTAAGGCAGAATTCTGAAAATTAAACATGGGGTTAGGAGGAGTGGAGTTTTGAGAGGTGATTACTCCCCCATCTGAAAGCATAAAAGTTAAGATGGTAGGTTGGTAAGGCTTGTCTCTGGTATGCATGATGTTGGAGTCTGTAGGCAATACTGTTAAAGAGTCCTGCTGTAAAAATAATCATTAATAGAATGTAAGAAATTTGGAACCAAAGTGGATAACAAAACATGACTTAGCCTGTTAACTGTGGCTGTGAAGCCTTTGTGAGATGGAGACGGGTAGTGACAGAAGATGAGGTGACCAATCAGAATGATCAGATTTAGGGCTGGAAGGGCACCTCTTAGCCTGAGTGATGTGAAACCAGAATGGCAGTCCAGCAATTTAGATTTAGGCATGGGTCACTGTAACCTGGTTGTAGTCCTTGGAATGATTTGTTGTAACAGAACTTAAGCAAGTATGAGAAAGTCTTTTATGTATCCTGAAAAAGTATAAACCAAGTGAGAAGACAAAATGTATCTGTGAGTCTTGACCAGGGTTGTCTGACAAATTGGTGAATCAGAAAGGAAGGGGGTGGTCTATATCACTGAGGAAGGGTCCACCAGCAACAACAGGTAGAAGTTGTTGAGGCCTCAGTGTGTCTAAGTCAGCCTGTATAAAAGGCATTTTAAGATTTAGGACTGGGACCTGCACAAAATAGGCCCTGTTTGTAAATGGCATAGGTTGACCATCAATACCCAGTCATAGAGATTGAGGACTTAATACAGCAGCCTGAATATTCAGGAAGAACTCTGTATATATGGCCTCTATGTCCACAAATATATAGAATGTCTTACCTGAGAGTTTTAGTGGAACTTGGACTCTGAGATGGACACCCACAATGGGGGCTGCTGGCCCTGAGTCTTCTCAGTCTTCAGCAGTGATTTTCTGTCGGTGTCGAATCTGGAAGTGTCGACATTTCCTGTGAGGGCTAGAACTTAGGATGACTTACCCACTCTCTGGTGGCTAGGACAGTCCAATAGCCCTGGAGTAAGGTCTCAAAGAATGCCAGGATGGGGCATTTTGTTGCCCAATGTCTTCTGCTGCATTTGAGCATGGACCATGGAGGGGCCAGGCAGCTCCACCTTGTGTAGGTTTACCTGTCTCAGAACTCTAAGTGTCACAAGTGTTAAAAATATGAAAAACCATATTAAGATCTCTCTAAGGTTTGAAGGTCAAGTTTTGCCTTTTTGTTTGGGATTTGGACTATAGTAGAATTAAGTAAGTATGTAGGAATTTAATATTGGCATTTTAGATTAGAGAGCAGGCTTTATCTGAATGGCATATCGCTTTCTAATAGGGTGACATGTAGAATTAACAAAAAAAGCTTTAATCTGCCCAAAAAGGCTTTAATGGAAATATTTTTCAGTAAAGGTTTAGCAATCTTATGAATAAATCTATCAAAACTGATCTAATACTGTCAAATTCTGAACACATTTACTTTTAAAGTTGTTATTTGCAGTAGTATGGACCAAGACAAATAAAATAAAACTTTGAAGAAAACCCTTGTCTTGAAATAGAGCTAGTGGTTCCCAGCAAAAAGGAATTTATAACCTTAGTGGTTAAACAGGAGATTGGTGAAGGATTTGATTGATACACAAGGCTGGTAAAATTATCAGGTGACCAACAACCTCGATTAAAAGTTTTGAGAATTGTAATTAAAAAGCATCTTTTGAGCAGAGCCAAATTGTAAAAAAGCATGCCTGAGCAGAGCCGCTGAGCTGCTGTTTCGCAGTGCTCCAGCAGAGCACACCTAGAGTGGGGGTGGGGCAAGCGCTGGGATGCAGCGCGAAGGGGCGGGCTGGGACTGCCCCTGGAAACGCTTAAGGTGGCAGCGGCAATGATGGTGCATGGGGGAGGGAGGGGCTGGGATGGTGCATGGGGGAGGGGCTGGGAGGCGGCCCAACACAGTGCGCAAACTGGAACTGGTTGTGGGGCGTGAGGATTAGAAAGCCAATTTAGGAACACAGCTGAGTTTTTATTAGCCTCCTGGACCTGTTTTAAAAGTTTGTTATAGTTAGTGTGCTTGACCTGCTCTGGCACAGCTATAGGCCCAGGATCATTGTCAGCGGTGTTTACCTTATGTCTGTGATCAGCTTTTTCTCGAACTGCTTGCCACAGCTGGTTCTGTTCTTCTGAGCTGAGAGTGGTATTTAGAATCACATAAACGTCCTTAAAATGTAAATCATAACAATTAGCAATACATTTAAATTGCCTGATATAATTCTGTGGGTCAACAGAGAGGCTACCTAATTTAAGGGTAATCTGAGATAGATCAGAAAGGGGAAAAGGCATATGGATGTTGACAGGTCCCTTGGGGCCAGCTTGCTTCCCAAGTGGTAGCAGAGCCTGAGGAGAAGTTTCCAGAGCAGAGGGCCATTGGGCAGCCATCCATCCAGTAGACACGTGTGAGCAATCATCTATAAAGGGCCTACAGAGCTGCTGCTGGTCACCCTGGGAAACACAGGCAGATGGCGTCTCACTGTGTGCCTTGCAGTGAGAGGACTGCTGTCGGCAGCACAATGAAGCATCATGTGCACTGCAACAGGGCAGCTGTTGCAGTTCACAAGAGGAGCCACAAGGGGGCGCCAGTTGACAGTGAGGGTCCTGGGAACATGGTGGCGCCGTCACGTGACACAAAACATGGCGGCGCCCTGTCGCCATGTGTCCCTCCTGAACATGGCAGCGCCATACCATGTGGCAGAGGGTTGCAACATGGCAACTGTTCCCGGCACAAGCTGGAACAATCACGCAGCCTGCTGGAAGGACATAGCGACTGAGACCTAGTATGGTTGGCAGGTGGTGAGAATGCTGTAGGGGATAGAGAATTCTCAGGAGAAGAAGTCGGAGACTGCAAGGAAGTGCTAACAGGGATTAAAGCTGCTAGGAGAGTTTTGGGTCCCGGAAGGCAGAGAGGGAGATGATCGCACAGCAGGAGGTATCTGTGACAGAGAGGGATTAGAGCTGCTCGGAGAATCAGGTATAGAGGGAGGGGAGAGGGGCCCAGCAGGAGGTAACGGAAGGGAACAAGTTTGGTGGTAGGCAGGCAGTGGCCGGGAAAACAACAGAGGGCAGGACAGAAAAGTTTCTGGCGCAGTAGACAGCTAAAAGTATCTCAGGGGGAGCACAAGACTTAATGAGAGATGGGTGTGTTCTCAGAATAAGAAAGGCTTGAATATAAGGGAGTTCTAATAACTTGTTGCCAGCTTGACAAAAATCATACAAGTTCCTGATAATGCAGGGATCAAATATTCCTTGTTTGGGCCAAGGCTTGCCAATAAGTGGGTAGGTTGGCCAGACCTCCTGGCATTAAAAAGTTAGTTGTTCAGTTTTTATGGTACCTTTAATTTTTAGAGTATGTAAATTGGAAATTAGGCATTGTAAAGGCGTCTTTTGGGAGTTAGAAAATACGTTCCCCATGACTGATTCAGGCAAGAAAAAAAACGGAGGTCCAGAACAAGCCATCACTTATTTGTGGCACCACGCGGCGGCTACGGTTCCAAAAACTCGTAAATTCCGGTCGTCACTGAGAGATTTACCAGTGGAGCCTGTGTGGGGTCAGTAACAGTTTTCCCCTTGAAAACGCAAGGCTTTAAGGGAAGTGAGGCATTCTTTCAGTGTGGGCGGTCCCAAAAATCTCTGCTTTGGGCTATCCGAACCCAAAGAACATGAGAGATTTTGCGGACACAGGTTTTCCCAGAAAGAACCCTGCTCTGGGTGGTCCAAAGGTCGTGAAAATGCACAGACCCATGCAGACGGGGAGAACAGTTGACTGGGGCTGCCCAGTGCCAAAAGTTCCCCGGGGAGTGCTCACCTGAAATCAATCTGGCCGATGCAGAGTGCAGGCTGCTTGAAACAGGAACGTCTTGGGAGAGGAAAAAGCTCAGGATTAATCCAGGATGTTATCTGGTTATCGGCTAGGGGACTCAACTGGGTGTGTGTCCCAGGAGTCAATCACCTGCCGATCCAGTTATGGCACCAAATGCTAGGGTTATTTCCAAAAGATGAAAAATATTAACAAAAGATGAGAAATATAAAATAAAAAGCGGCCTTTATTCTGAGAACATGGAGAGAGATGACCGGCACCCCCACCACTGGCGTCCTGCGATCTCTCCGGCGGACATGTGGCATGGGGGCCTATAAATAGCCTCGGTTTGGGGTGGAACCTAAGGCGGGCATTAGGGATGCACAGGTAGCCCATTGGTCCTAGGTTTGGCGCCATATGTAAATTTCCAGGGGCGGGAATAGGGCATCACAGGTAACTTCCTAGGGGCAGGGGAGATGGGGCTTCCTGCTTCCAGTTGTGGCTTTCCTGGCTACAGTGTCGTATCTGGGCCAAAACCCTTTCAATGCCCATTCTGGTTGACTATTTTCTACTTTTGAAGACCTATAATGTCTCCATTGTTTTGGTTTTGTTGGTTTTGTTCTTTACTGTTTTGTTCAATTTTATTATAAATAATGATATAGGCAATTCTATTAGAGATAGCGGAAGGCATATGGTAACCATTGTTGATCACCTAGTATTATGCTTTTACATTAACTATTACGTCCACCCTTTTGATCTGACCAACTGTTCTGTCACATTTGGTTCTACTCTCTTCCAAAAAAGTAATAAGAACTGTGGGAGCCACAAAACCCAAAATGTGTAATTGTCATTGTACAAAAGAGAGGAAAAGAAAGTGCTCTAAATGACATAACTGCATGTATATTTAAGTGTAAAAGATAGATAATGATATTACTGAGATTTGTTGAATCATTGAACAGAACTGTTTGCAGTCTCACTATTGGAATGTCTACTTTATAAGCTTTAATTTTGTAACTTGAACAATTTTTTATAAGATGACAAAATGTAACCCACTAACTAGTGATTTCCTACTGTTTATTTTTTCTGTAAATTTGTATAACTTGTACCCTTTCTCTGCTTTTTTTTTCTTTTTCTCCTTAAATAAAATTTAAAACAATAAAAATGAAAAAAAAAAAAAAGAAACCTATTCCACCCAGGCAATAACAAATATATCAAGAAGACGAATATTGTTCAAGACAAAATCGATGCTGACATACTTTCAGGGCCAATAATGTACAACTTGGAATGTTTTTACAAGCTCTATAATTATGTTATAAACACTAAGACAACACATAACATGAGCTGACTTCTTGGCATGAACAGGAGGGCCCATGTCAAGTTCAGCCTGAGTTTAAATCTTTCAGGGGGTTTGTGTGGCTCATTCTCTACCTTCAGCTATCTCTTGTGGCTGTTACACTCAGTCGTTATGGAAGGGTTACACTGGGAACCCTCAAGTGCAAGTGTTTTGTTGTTTTTCTGAATCTCACTCCTAATTTCTCAAACCCTCTCCAAGACAGGCTGTGATCAAACTCTCACTGGCAATGCAGCAGGCACTGCACTCTCCAGCAGTTGCCTGCTGTGTGGTGAAGTGGCCTTGGAGGCAAAACCCCATGATGCTTTGCAGTTCACAGGCACTGTGGCTTCTCCCTCCTCTGGCCAATGCCACTGCCATATGTGCCATTTCTCCCTGGAGGTGCAGGTCCTCATGGCTTACTTTGTGACTGTGAAAACAAGTTCTGCATGCCAGAAAACACTGCAAGTTTCCAGATTGCTTTATTGTCTTCTCTACCTGGTGATTTGTTTTTGAACTTGTCTATAGCTTCTAATTTTGTCCTAATTCCTTCCTAATTCCAAGTGACCCAGTTCTTTATTTCTCTTGGTCACACTGTTGTTTTCTGGTTTTCTTGATTCTGGGTCTTAGAGAAGTTGAATTTTTTTAAAGATAATAAAATCCAACAAATCAAAATAGAACAAAGTCAAAAACAGCAGCAAAATTGGTACAGAACTTCAAAGCACGATGCTATGAAAACAACAATAACTACCACAGTATGTCTTGTTATCTTCATAATACTTGTCCATTCATCAGGTATAGCAATATCAAGCCAAAGTAAAACAGAATAAAACCAGTCCCAACAGAACACTGAATGAAGCAAAACAATTCATCAGAATGAAACAACATAGTGAGAACAATATTGACCTTCAAGGACAGGATAGAAGGAAATCCCCTGTTTCTGCTGTATGGCATACCATCGTCCTCCCAATAAATGCCCAGACTGCAGGTCCCAAGCCTGCAATATCTACCAATCAATGTAAACATTTAGCTGCTTTTTGTACCTTAGCTGCTGTCAAGTTAGCCTGTCTTCAGAACCAGTTGGTTGCTTACAGGGGGAGAGGATATTTGATTCTCAGCTCATGTGTCTATAGGCTTATGGGTGGCCTTATTTGACTTTTCTCTCCCTGGGCCCCCATGGCTTGCATGCTTTATCAGAAAGGCTGGCTGGCTTCTTGATGATCTCCTCCCAGTCCCAGCATGACCAGTTCTCGGGAGGCACTGACTTTTCGCTAAGAAGCTAAATTTTGCTACTAATCACTATTCGGTTCTTTCGGTTTTTCGCATATGTGGATTTTTACCTTTTGTTTCTCAACGTGTTCAAAACATTTGTAGATAGAGTCTTTAATCATTTTGATTGAGTGATTTATAAAACTCTTCAACTGCAAACATATTCAAAGTACTGATAATTCCTTTTACTTGAATATTTGCCTAAATCTTTCTTAATCATCTTTTTATATTTTAGGCATTATTCTTCCCTGTCAGTAATGTGCCACTGCTCTTGTCAGTCTGTCAAAAGGTGTGAACAGCATAAGTGAAATATCTTCCTGGAAGGCACTTTAGTCTCCCTGCACCTGCTGAAATCTCTATTTTTAATCATATTTTGGTCATTCCCATTTCTGTGTCTCACAGTCTTTAAACAATAAACATTCCTATAACAAGATCATAAGTGTTCCACAGTGCTGTTGTATTTTTTCATACAATCTTGAAATTGACCCACATCCCCATGATTCCTCCAGTCTGTGAGCTTCTGGAAAACAAAGCTAATCCATCATCAACCTGCTTCATTTGTGTTTCCATGAGATTTACCCACCTACCACCCTGGTGTTACATAGTAAGCATAAACACCATCATATCCACACCATTGATGGCAACTTACCTGCTCCTGAGGACGGACAACTACTGTATTAAAATCAGGCCACTTGGGGCTGGGGATTTAGCTCAGCGGCATCAGCACCTGCCTTGTAAGTAGGCAGTCGTGAGTTCGATCCCTGGTA